GAGTTAAAAATCATCATATGTGTTCTACTGAGGAAACAAAGTCACCTACATCTCGGATGCCCTGGGGGAAAGCAGATAAACATCACATTTTCATTTTTGGGTGAACTATCCCCTTAAGGTATGATGGATTTCTCCAACAAACTGTTGCTTCTGGCTAAATTACGAGTCCATAATCTATAATATTGTTTTCTCCAGTTAAAAAAGTAATCTAGTTTGAATCAGGAGAGAAATATGCACAGATCAAGCACTGTTTATAAGTGGAAACAATCCAAAACTCTTTTCAACATATAGGTTGGTGGATACTAATGTTAGATGACAACAGCATATGGATTTTTTCACTGGAGGAAGCGTTATTGTAGATTATGGACTTGTATTTTGTCTTAAATTTAAAACGCCTTATTAAAGAATTTGTTTATTACAGACATAGATTTTCGCTTCACAAGATGTTAATTGATGGACTGGAGCCGTATGGATTATTATGATGCTTTTATCAGCTGTTTGAACTCTCATTCTGATGGCACCCATTCACTGAAGATTCACTCTTTTATGAACTTCCATTCTTTGTTTGTTCAGCCTTTGCTTTGGTACATTAGAAAGTAAAGCACTGTCTCTTTCAATGGCTTTTATATTTATATTTTCAGATTGTATCTCAACTAATTGCATCTCCAACATCTTGGAGAATGATGCATTGACTCCTCCAGCTAATTGCCTCTGTGAGGTTTTAATTCAGAAATGATTGTATTTGCTCTGTTTGTTTTTGACATGCACCAGTGAACAATAGCAAAGCAGGGGGAGGTAAGGAGAGAGACAGCTGATGAATGAGAAACAAGAACAAATGTTTTTTTGTATGAGAGCAAGGCCATGATCATCGCAGCTGCATGTGTGGAAGCTCTCAACAATCAGACTCATGAGGCCTTCATCCCACTGCCGTCATTTCTTTGACTTTATCCAGGGACGGCGCACAAACAGACGAATAAACAGTACAGTCTGCGATCAGCCTGTGAAACCAGATGCTTCCAGTCAGAAGATTTTCACTTACTGTTGACTAAATTGTTGTTCTTTCTGTAATTCAGCTGGACCGCACTGAGGTGATCAAGAGTAACCTGAATCCGGTCTTTGCCAAAGTCTTAATGCTGGACTACTACTTTGAGGAAGTACAGAAACTACGTTTTGAAGTCTACGACATTCACGGAACTCACAGTATTGGAACACGAGATGACGACTTCCTGGGTGGTGTGGAGTGCACGCTTGGACAGGTGATGTTTTCCTGTGCATTTTATGTAATATTGCTAAAATACACCATGTGACCAAAAGTATGCTCTCCTAATTAACAGCCATATGGCAAAAAAATAAATAAATAAAATACAATAATGGCAAAATATATTTCTATATGCTAAATATCTTTTGTAAACACTGAAGCCCAATGAAATATATTTTATGTGTGTATTATATTCATATACCAAAATATATTTCAAAATGTATTTCAGGGGCAAAAAATTAATTTCCGATCTTACAGTAGCCAACATTTAGTCTAAATGCAAATGTGGATAGAATGGCTTACTGGAGATCAAAACTAGACTTTCAATGATTTAATATTTTTTAATTTTTATATATATTTTTTTTACATTGTAAAATATGCTAATTTTTATTCAGACGTGTTATGTTCACATTTTTCTTCAAATGACATGTGTGAACGTACGTTAATACATACATACAAGTCCTCCTGATTACCAGAAAAAAATGTTTTGTGAATTGAGTATTATGTCATTACATTGCTTAGAGCATAAGAAAAAAAAATGGCAAAATAACATTTTCGAAAAATGATATTTTATTCATGTCTGCCACTTTAAATATAACGTCCTCTGCAGAGGACAAAACTCCATAACTGGGAGTCATATATATATATATATATATATATATATATATATATATATATATATATATATATATATATATATATATATATATATATATATATATATATATATATATATATATATATATATATATATATATATATATATATATATATATATATATATATATATATATATATATATATATATATATATATATATATATATATATATATATATATATATATATATATATATATATATATATATATATATATATATATATATATATATATATATATATATATATATTTTCTATCTATATTTTTTTGTATATTTTTGTGCATATATATATATATATATATATATATATATGCCCAAAAATATACAAAAAAATATTGATAGAAAATATATTTACATATATTTACAAATATGTTTTTGGCCACTTTTTGGCTTATTTTGAAACATATTTGAGAATAGATGGATATATTTTGCTGTATGGACAGGTTTGGATATTTCAGCTAAGCCTCATTGATGTTCATGTCTGAAAGGAAGCAAACCCCTGCATCTTTGTTCCAACATCAAATGGAAACCTTCCCGAAAGAGTAGAAGCTGTAAATAGCAGGACCAACTCATTATGCATTACCTTAATTAAATGGTGTACTTTTGTTTATGCAGTGTACTATGCTATTCTCAGGTAACTATTATTTGTTTTTAAACATTATTAAACAAAAATTTGTTCCATAGATAGTGGCCCAAAAAAAGATGGTGAAACCTCTGTTGCTGAAATATGGAAAATATGCTGGAAAATCCACTATCACTGTGAGTTGAAAAAAAAAACCTACACACATAATTATTTTTTAATTGCTGCTGTACACATTTACACATTCACTGAAAGCTCTTGTGGTAGAGGTTTCATCTGTCATCACTTAATTTTAGCATCCACAAAGGTGTTTTGGTTTTGTTTACAGAATAACTAAAAGACAGTTTAAGTCACTTTTCTGGAGACACATTCCCAGATAGTCAGATGAGGATGAATCTGTGCATTTGCAAAATTAAAGCAGACACTGTTTGCCAGGCCAACTCACCATTCGACAATAACCAGAAATGTCTTTGACAAAAATTCATGTGTATGAGAATCACTGTGTTCAATTAGACAAAATCAATCACTTTTAGTTTCAAGGGTGTAAAGGACTGCTGCAAGAACGATAACTATGAAGGTAACTATAATGATGACGCTATAAACTTTGTTTATTATAAGCGTGCGCTGCACTTATTATGTCTGGGTGTTGGGTGGATTCTGATTGGCTGTCAATGATTTATCATTCATCAGCAGAAAACAGTCTCTCTTAAAATGATTCCAACAATATCATACTTCAAGTTATAATGTGAAGGGCCTAACCACAGCAGGGTTTTTGGCATCTACACCCACCTCTTTACAATGCACATTTTTTTGCATTATGAGATGTCACTCTGAAGTGATATTCATTCATCTATAGGTCCACCCACTTTTTTAAAGTGCCAACTAAATGCCAAATCATGCCCACGTCACTCATCACTAAACTCGTAGGATGACTGCACATTACAAAATGAGTGATTTTTTTTCTATTACTTCTGGAATGAAATGCCACTTTAAAATATTTCTTGATACAGTTGAGTGAAACCGCTAGTCCGTGTGATGCCTGAGAGATAGATAATGGCGAATCTCTAACACTGGTGCATTAAAAAGTCATCAGGTTTCAGGAATACGGTCTAACCCGTGTAAAGGACTTTTAATATAACTCTGTGTAGTTTGGGTTGCAGTGCAGGCGGTTTGACCTCTAACTTAAATTCTGCTGTTTTCTGGGCTCATATTATATGACACCAATTTGACCTTATCGTACTGTAGGTAGACAGACTCTGGATATTCTTACAATATCTGCCTGCATGGTGTAAAATAATGTAGACTATCAGTTTCAGTATGGGAAAATAGTATTTCAGTTACAATATCACAGCTAGTTCAACTCAATTCAAACAAGCCAAACACACACACAAAAAGTACATTAAAAAAGTGATGCCCAAAGTTATTTTTGCATGTTTCTATTGCCGGCAGACAAGGTTAATCCGTAAGACAAAACGTAATACCACATCCTTATCAAAGGTGTTGATTCTCTGCTTTCTCATCAGTTTTAACAAAGTTTTTCCTGACCACACTGCAGACTAATGGCCTTTTCATGTTGAAACACCTACAGCAGGGACTGTTTTTGCTGGACCCCCTCATTGTATTACACTCTGGTTGTAGATTTCTAATGCTGACGAAAACACATTTTGATCTGAGGTGAGACAAAATGGGATGATTTAACTGCTCTTAACAAACTAGTAGAGGTCAAACTAGCTCTTAACAAACTAGTACAGGTCAAAGACAACTCCATAAATAGCTCCCTTAATCAGTGTTGTTCACATTAAATTACATACTAAAACGTTTCCAGAAACAGCAATTACAGTTAGTAATTTAGAACATTTGCACTCAAGACTGATCGAGTTTCTCTTCAATTTTTACTTATCTTTTTTAATTGAATGAATGGACAGTGGATAGTTGGTTGGAAAAATGGATGGATGACAGATGAATGAATGGATGGATGAATGGGATGGGTATATGGATGAACAGATGGATAGATGGATGGACCGGGTGGGTGGAGGGACAGACAGATGGAGGACATGGGCTGGACAGATCAACTGATGAACAGATGGATGGATGGGATGGATGGATAGATTAATTGATGGACAGATGGATGGATAGGCTGGGCTGGGTGGACAGATGGATGGATGAATGGACATACAGATTGATTAATGGTATGGGTGGATGGATGAATGGATGGACAGATAGACAGATGAATGGTGGCTGGATTGACTAGGCTGGGCAGAAGGACTGATTTGGATGGATGAATGGATGGGATGTGTAATTGAATGAATGGACAGACAGACGGATGGATGGATTTGCTGGGTTGGGCTGATGGACGAATGGGATGGGTGGATGGATGGACAGGATGGACGGAGAGCTGGATGGATGAATGGACAGGATGGATGAATGGACAGGATGGACGGAGAGCTGGATGGATGGACGGATGGATGGTCTGGGCTGGACAGATGAATGGTTGAACAGATGGATGGATGGGATGGATTGAAGATGGATGAATATATTGGCTTTGTCTCAGCTAATCTCTATCTTATTTCCCAAGATTCACGCAGAAGAGATTTCTGGGAACAATGGCTATTTGGAGCTTTCCTTCTGTGCCAAGAAGTTAGATGATAAGGTAAGGAGTGATGTTTTTCGTCTTCCATTTAAAAAAAAAAGATCGTCAGGCATGAACTACTCACCAGAGTTTACACTCAGTGTGTTTTGGTTTTAAAGTATACCTAGTGACAGAAAATGATATTCTTTGTTTGTAAAGTAGTGCTTTTTGACCCTTTGAAACCGATAACTGCAGCTGCCAAAGAACCTTTCAACTCGCCTTTAATGTTTTGGCTTCTCAGTTTCGGCCCCGTTAAGAGCCATTAGGGCTATTATGGCTTCATAAAATCCCACTCTCTTTTTTTGGCTTTGGCATAATGTTTGAAACCCTATTTATTCAGCTGAGGTTTCCTAATGAGAATGGAAGCTCTCTGGATAGCGAGGGCTAACAGAGCTGAAGCGCTGAGGGAGCGTAGGGTGGCTGACTGACTCTCTGTGTGCAAACAGCCTCTCCCACACAGCGAGGCCCACAGCGCAGCTCTCTCTGTGCCCTGTAGTTCTACAGGTGTCTGCACTTCCCGCTGCGCTGCCGCACAGTACACAAACGCCTCTGCAATCCTCGTCCTACTCTCAGCACTCATCTCATCTGGTTCTCCTACTCTTTCCTCTTGTTTCTCCCTCCCTTTTCCACTTTCATATGCTGCTGTTCTCTTCCTCTAAGCCTGGGGCAACATTTATGCTCAGCGGTTATCTTCAAAACACAGCTTTTTTGTTCGTTCCTCATCAATTTTGTCTGACTTTCATGAATTCATACATCTAATGTAATGAAGGGAAACAGCAAATCGATAGTCATGACTTGTTCGCTCAAGCTTCACATCCCCTCAACCCCACATTAGGTGGGAAAATCAATTTATTGTCTATTCATCCTTTTACAGTGAGACAGAAATGCTATTTGGCATCTGTACCAGAACAGAAAGCGCAGGCTGTGATTCTGATTGGAGATGCTTATACAGTGAGCTGAAGCACCCACGTAAACCATTGGCTGACTGTAATTTTGCCAACTAGGATGTGTTCCTGGATCAACATCTTTTGCTGGTGCTGGAACAATAGTCCTGCACTCTCAGAAAAAAAGGTACAAAAGCTGTCACTGGGACCTTACTTACCACTGAAGGGTGCATTTTAGTACATATTTGTACCTAAATGGTACATATTAGTTCCTTTTGAAAAGGCACTGCCCTAGTGACAACTTTTGTACCTTTTTTTTGAGAGTGTGTCAAACTATCTTCTCCTAAAATCAGATGAAAATGATCAGAATGGAAGGTCCCAAACCCTTAAACGGAACCTAAACTCTGATTTGGTTTGGTACAATAATTTGTCATTGGGGCAGGACCCTTACTTTCTACCTTATTTACCCCTTAAAGGGTGCATTTTAGTACTTTAAAGGTACATATTTGTACTTAAAGTGTACATATTAGAACCTTATAATGTGTCAAACTATCTTCCCCTAAAATCAGATGGAAATGATTGGTTGATCAGAATGGAAAGTCCCAAACCCTTAAACTAAATCTAAACTCTGATTTGGTAGGAATTAATGTTTTTGCAGGGTCAACAAAGCAGTTCATTCAGGAACTTGTTCTACTTGAGGTCACAAAATGGGTGTTACACTCTCAGAAACAAATGTGCCAAAATTGTACCTTCAGGGGTACAACAGCTTGTTACTGGGGCAGGACCCCTAAAGGGACATTTTTGTACCTTATTTACCTCTAAAAGCTTGAATAGATGGATGGGTTGGGAAGCACCTAGCCCATCCATCTATTCATCCATCCGTTTATTCATCCATCTTTCTAACCATGCATCCATTGTCCATCCATTCAGCTAAAAAAGATAAGAAGAGTAACTGCAACTAAAGTACTAATATACCTTTTAGAGGAAGATAAGGTACAAAGATGTCCCTTTAGGGGTCTTGCCCCAGTGACAAAATGTTGTACCTCTAAAGGTGCAATTTTTGCACATTTGGGGGTCTGAGGAAAGAGACAAAGAGTGTAAAGAGTTTTTTTGTCTGTTGATTCTTTTTTTCTGTTCTGTTTTTTTATAGTTTCTCATAGAATCTCTGTCTAGATAACATTGTACACATATGTACTTTTATTTTAGCTATTTATATATTTTAGAAAGGAAGTCTTTTGCAAGGGTATTGTCATATTTGGAAGTATGTGGCATATACCTGTGGAATATGCCATCTGAGGACTATTTTTGATCCTTGTCATTTTGATTTATTTTATCACTATTTTACCTTACACATTCATGCACATACGCACTCTTCAAAAAAGGCACTGGCTTGTTCACAGACCAAAATGTATAGATTGAAATGTATATATACTGTATATTTTAATGGAAAGAAAAGATATAGAATTAACTGCATGTTTGCTTATTGTGCCCAAGAGCGTCCACATGTCACATGATTCTAACCACAGGTCGAAAGCTGTAGTTCCAACCATACAAGTTTGCGAATGTTCATTGGAACTATAGGTTTGGTAAATGTAGAATCATTCACTTGCGCTAGTAACAACAGAACTTTTTGCTTAACAATGTATCCCTGTCAAATTCTGCACCAAAAGCATCTTTACACAGACACATCTTTACAGCAGCTCTCTCATGATCAATCAGTACACGTCTTATTTTCTGTCTGCTGTGCACACAAAACAATCAATGCACATGATCCATTGTTTTCTGCAATTGTGAAACTGTGTAAATACATTTGTCACCTCTATGCCTCTGGGTATACGCACGGAATATCTGCTGCTATTATGCAGTGTAAAAACAGCTCCATACAAATTGAACAATAATGTCATACCATATGAGGGACCCTCGCATAGAGGGGTTGTCCCGTGCCTCTTATACTGTAGATAATCCTCCATCTCTTCAACTTAAAAATGCACATGTGCTTTGGTTCAGTATGGTAAAGCTAATCCAGCATGTCATCTCAAATTTGTTAAGGCAGGATTTCTCTTGGTTAAAGACATATGCTGATGCAGTAAATCTTGTTTAGTTCTGCTATATGCAGAATATGGAACCACATTATTTGCACTTTGCATATGCATTAAAGCAGAGGCTACGCTGTCACATCACTAATGTATTACCATCCTGGCGACGAGCTTGTCTGCCTGCCCATTAGAACATTAACCAGGCTAATTCTGAAAGGCGAATGGTGACAAATTCCAAAAGGCAATAAAATTGAATTCTCACTTTCATTTCTAGCGGTCTCTACCATTAGCCCCAACATATTCATCAGCCAACCTTTTTAATGCTCTATTTCGGGGGGGGGTTATTGTATCCCCTCTTGTAATTGTTATCATAGTGAGAGGATGGATGGAGTCTAATAAACAGCTAGGCAGGATAATGGCTGTGCTGCTATCTTTGGACAAGATATGTCTGTTCAAATAACGTTGGCTTTCCGTGCATACAGACTGATATGATTTAACAGAATGGACATATTAGCAAATCAAACTATATTGGACTTCATGACAGCTTCTGCACGTGACGCATGCTAGAGAAGTCTGTGTCTTTGATGTGAATGCCATTTCTCTTTATGAAGAAGGCACTAATGCATTTTAAATCGAAAAGTCGCTCTGGGTTATGTGACATTTATCAAAGACTCTTCACTTGGCATTTTCTCTGTGAATTTTAATGCTTAATTGAGTGCTGTACCTTCACATGGGCTTCTCTGTAGATATTAGCACATATTTTGTTTTTTTCAGGGGACATTGATAGCTCTATCTTTCATCAGATCATAAAAGACAAGCACAGAATTAACCTTTAGTCTGTGCATTTAGCCAGCCATTAAAGCAAAATGCCACTAAAGATTTCATCTCTTTGGAGCCTTAAATGTCTTTTGGGAGCAATGAACAGCTAGGACTCATCAGTGCATATGAACTTCACAAATGCAATGACAGTTGTGAGAGGTGCGATGCATGTTACAAATGCGAACAACAGACAAATCACTTGTCTAAATCAGTCTTCACTCAAACCACTGGCAAGATGTTACCTTGACAACCAGATAGTGGGGGCACCTCCTCTTTCAGCGTCCCTGTGGAGATGTCTCACACTAATGCAGCGAGAAACGGGGATATTAAATGGCTCGTTTTTTGCTCTACCAATTCCTCTCTCCCTTCCTTTATCTCTGTGCCTCGTTCTCTCTCTCTCACATCTGCACACACTTAGGAACAAAGACCTCTGTCTTCTTCAGAAAGCCCAATTCAGAAACCTTATGTTGAATGATTGTTTGAGACAATATAGTTGATTTGATTTGCCACAGCTATAAGCACAATCGGCAGCAACACACATGGGCATGCAATAATCGTGAAAGGTGTTCATGGTTCCTTGACCAATATTTCGTCTTATTGCACATGTGTATTTTCCCTTTATAAATGTTGAGCTCAAGAGCCCATGAAATCAGAATTTCTTTTTGTCACCTTTAGTCCATGTTAGTTTTTAGGCTATCCATATGGTAATATACCCCCAAAACCAGACAAAATATGCTCAGAGACTTAAGGTGCGGTCACATTAGCAAAATGTCACAGGCAAAAAAGATCCATTGTCTATAGTCCAACCCAAGCTCATTGAAGATACGTGCTTGTGGCGATGTTTCTGCAACACATATATTACGTACCTTACTGCACATTTTGTGGCAGCTTCAAAGTTAAATGTCCAGTGAGTGGACGCTTGATACGTGACCGGTTCCACATGTTTTTATTTTTATTTTTACGTTGGTACAGGCACGTACTGCAGCAGTTTGGAATTCAGTTATCTGAGGAGTGTCACTAAATGGTTAATGCTGTATTGTGTTGGAAAATAACATACCCCCTACACCAAACCCAACCCTTAACATACCTGATCGTGAAACGACAGCAAAAGTGATTTAAAAATGCATTTGTTGATGCAAATGTGCTATTTTAAATTCATTTTACGTGGGTTTGAGCTGTTTTTTCAAACCCTAGTTTCAAAGGATTTATTCCAGAGTGCTTTACCTCACAAGTGCAACACTGTATCGCGTGAGCTACCGAGCAAACCTACTGAGTTAGAAAACTCATACGTTTGAAGCTATATATGTGATGCTAACATTCAAAAGTATCAGTTTTCAAATCTTGCAGCGTTATCATAATATTGTGCAAGAATTTATGTGAAAATTAGGCTTACTTAATCAAAACTCTGGCCCTGTAAACCATACTTTTTGTGAAAAGGAGTATAATATGTTTGAGTTTTACCGCCTCTAGTGTTCATTTCAACTGGAAGCTTTACTGATTCATATGTATAGGTATGTTTTTTTCAAGTATTTTCAAAGAGCCTGGGTAGCTATTTTCAGTAGTGTCAATATTTGTGTAATCTGTGGGGAAATCTTTCACGCTCATGCAAAATTACAGATTGCATGGATTTCTATTGAAATGACTGGATTTCACCCAGAAAATTCGCAATGGTAAACAATGGTAAATGTGACTGCACCTATAGAGTCAAATTTACAATCTTCTGGGGAAATGGACCAGGTATTACTAGCAATAGCGGGCTAGCAAAAGGTTTGGCTGGTTAGCATGGTTAGCACAGATAGCCTTTGCTGGTAGCAGTGGCATTCCGTCCATATAAGCTGCGAATGCTCCGCATACCCAGGCCATTTGAGAGAATGAGTTCACGGGATAATTCATATAAACATGATTATAAGTTGATCCCTTGTCATTTGAAATGTAACTTATAGCTCAAAGAGTTAGGAATAAGTACGTAAACTGATTTATTTGCCAAACGGCAGTAATTTTCTTTAAATCTGCCAGTTGTGGTTGCTTCCGGGCGATCGGATTCTCCGCAGCTTTCTCGTCTCCGCTCTGTTGCTATGACTCGTCAGGATTATAGCGCGTTAGTGATTTTCTGGTCTGTGGCTGATTTAATGCGCGAGGTAAGCTGTCTGCAAAGCGCTTGCCCAAGCAGAAAAATGCGCTGTTGCTGTCAGATCTCAATTGCCGAAAATCACATTGTGTTTGATGCAAAACCAACTCGACTAAATCAAAAGAAAAAAAACACTGTAACTGTATATTTTTGTTTTCTCAAGCAAAGCAAATTTTAAAAGTCCACTGAAAACATATCTTCTTACATTTTGGTCATAGACAATGTATGTTGAAGATATACGTTATTATCAACATTATTGCCTAAGCTGTAAATAAAAAAAGTTTATAAAACGTGGGCTATATAAACATTTAATAATAACAAACATCATATTGTTCCCTTTCTTTTGCGTATGCATTACTCGCATGAAATTTACAGCTCAGAAAAAACCTGTATCCAGAACTGAAAGCCCATGAGCTAAAATGGCACATTTTAAATCATCTGTGCTTTTGCGCCAGCAGAGCAACTGTCATTGACATGAATGTGAATGCTAATGGATAGCTTTCAAGTATAATAGATCTCCTTGAGATCAAGTAGCAAATGGCTTTTGGGTGTGTAAAAAAAGGACAAGTCCTTTGTCCTGAATCAACTTCTTGTTGCACATCAATATAGAAAAGAAGAGTGCATTCATAAAACCATGGGGTATTTAAAATATTGTCCCCTGCATAATGTTCTCCTTTGAATGGCTGGACTGTATTGACATTCTCTTGTGACTGTAGGATCTCTTCAGCAAGTCAGATCCATTCTTGGAGATTTACCGGATCAATGATGATGGAACAGAACAGCTCGTACACAGAACTGAAGTAAGTAGTTCCACCCCATGGAATAATAATCTTTCTTTTGCTGTTCATAATTCTTCTTTAGTTTATACAATGATATTGATTTGTATCTACAGGTGATTAAAAACAATCTGAACCCTGTGTGGGAACCCTTTAAGGTGTCTCTCATTTCCCTGTGCAGCTGTGACGACGAAAGGAAGTTGAAGGTGAATATTAATGGAGCAGGTCACTCTAGAATTGACATTCCATTACTCATTTTGTTCCAAACCTTTATGACTTAATTTCTTCTGTGGAACAAAAAAGGAGATGTCTTGCAGAATGTCTAAGGGACCGTTCACATGGAACGCATCTTTGAGTCTAAAAATGTGAGATGCTGCGCTCAGGAATGGTTTTTAAATTTATTGGTCCACTGTTTTGGAACGTTGATAGATGAGCAGCGCTGCGTGTAAAAGTTGAAATTCTTTTAAATTGACAGTCTTAAAAATGTGGCGCTCATGTGCAAGACGCTGTAAACGACGTGAGAAGCAACAGTCATACACGTCAGTCTACACTCTTAAAAATAAAGGTGCTTCACGATGCCATAGAAGAACTTTTTTGTCTAAATGGTTCCATAAAGAACCTTTAACATCTGAAGAACCTTTCTGTTTCACAACAGGTTCTTTGGGGCGAAAAAAGGTTCTTCAGATTATAAAAAGGTAAGAAAGAGATGGTTCTTTAAAGAACCTTTGACTGAATGGTTCTTTGTGGAACCAAAAATGGTTCTTCTATGGCATCGCTTGAAGAACCTTTTGAAGCACCTTTATTTTTAAGAGTGTAGCGCATGTTTACGTAGAAAAGTAGCACATTGGAATGGAAAAACAACGGCCCCAAAGATGTTATTTTTCTCACTATATAAGTATATAGTAATCAGTGGCTGTGAACCTCCAAAAAGAACAACAACAAAAATAATGAACCATTAAAATCCTTACAACGTATGCACTATTTTCCAAGTATTATAAAGCTGTTCAATAGTTTAGTTTTAAGAACAAATGGAAGTTTAAGTTTTCACTGAAAATATGCAATCACAATTAACAGTCATGACAGAGGATTTGTTCCTCACATGAGTGATATGGACTACTTTTATGGTGATTTTGTAGTGCTTTATCAGTCATTTTTTTAGTTTGATTGGTCACTGTGTACATCTGTTGTATGAGAGCATCTTGGACGTTGCGCTAAATAAGTATTTTTGTTTTTTACTTAAGAAATTCACACTGATTTGGTATGAAAAAATCAGACATGATGAGCTATTCCTATATAAAGAAGTAATGACAAGAATAAAACCAAAATAACACATGGAACCATAAGAGACACATGAGTTGTTGTAATTGTCTGTGAACTGCAGTGCTTAGTCTGGGACTATGACTCAAGGGGAAAGCATGACTTCATTGGCGAATTCTACACTAATTTCAAAGAAATGCAGAAGATTTCCTCAGGAAACAAGGTCAGTGGTTTGAGACATTCAGTCATTCATTGGCGTTTGATATCGGTCATAGCTGTTTCCTGCTGAGAACTAGAATGGATTAAAGAAATGTCACAACCCTTCTGCATGTGTGGTAAAAGTGACTTCGCTGCAGTGCCACCTTCAATTTTCAGCTCACCTCTTTGATCTCTTCCCGTGCCCCTGAAGGTCACATGGGACTGCATCAATCCAAAATACAAACTGAAGAAGAAGAACTACAAGAACTCTGGGTTGGTTATTCTCAGTGATCTCAAGGTACGAGTCTGACAGTCTATGTTTGTGTGTATAGAGAGCTTTGTAGACATGCCGTCCTTATTTTAGGGATGCTAGTACATGATAATACTGGCCAACCAGCTGTGAATGAAAAGACTGCGGAGTTATTATTGTTGTGGGTGGGTGTGACAATCAAGCTTAGCCTAAAGACATTAGTGGGGTGGGAACAGGCTAATGCATTTGTCTTGTTTGTGCGCATTCACACAGGGAAGCTTTTTATTTATAGTTTCATATCTCGTGTACAGTACTTGTGTGTTTGATTGGCTAAAAGTTTGCAGGTAGTCTTGCAGATAGTGATTTCCGGTGAGCCAGGCAGATAAATGTGGCAGGGTTTCTGAGACTCACCCTCCATTCTTCATTTTGCAGCTTCACAGAGTCTATTCCTTCCTGGACTACATCATGGGAGGCTGCCAAATACACTTCACAGTAAGTGGGAACAGCAGTGCGCTCCACATTTAGCACCGCGGTGCGATCCAGACCCTTCACAGATTTACTGCCCATGTTCTCCAGCAAGCATGTAGATGCCAGGCGTGCTGGACTGATAACTGCCTCCTCATCGCAAATGCAGCTCATTTATAGTAGATTATACACGATTTTGTGGGTAGACTGCAAAACGTAATGTTCTTAAGTATTTTTATTTCTTGTTTGCTAGTAAAAATGGCTAAGATTCTTAAAACAAGATTAGAATATGGTATTTTGTCCCTATTCACAGTTGTTTTATTTTTAACATTTTTTGACTGGCTGCTCTTGAGTTTTATGTTGAGTCAGAATGTGATTGTTTCACTGCTGGAGGCAAAAGAGCAAATTAATATCTCCTCCAAACTGTTTTAAGTCCCCCACCCTTATGCTTCCCTTAAGAGCAGCCAAAATGGGCCAAGATTATTAATGAATTCAATTGAATATTCATTATTTAAATATCCGAATTCTCCTGTTGCCTGTTAAATTAAAGATAATCAGATGTCAAGTAGTGAAAGCCTCAGAGTGAATGTTTTGGTGCA